GGGGGGGGGGGGGCAACCGGGGTGTGGGAATTGCCCGGCACGTCTACGGAAATCCCTCGACGACATGTTTCAAACCCACCATGGTAGGTGTTGACGCGATCTTGGTCGTGAGGAAATCGAGCTTTGAAAATAGGTCTGGGGGGAGGGGGGCGGGGCGGGGGGGTGCCATCTCTCCGCCCTTGCGGTTTCCAAGACGAACAGGCGACAGCGTCGAAAGGACTCCAGCGCGGCAAAAAGGAACTTCTGTACTGTGGCGCGCAGTTTTCTGATTTGAAAAAAAAAAAAGTCGTGATGAAAAAGAAAGAGGTGGTGCCGACCGAACATCCATGAATGGCGGTTGATCTCGTCCATGATCGTTTCGGGAGGAAGGCTTATTGACCAATCAGAAACTTGCGTGTCATGATGTCGTCCTAAACATTAGAATGAAAGGTAAACCCATAATCATGGGGGGCAGAGTGGCCGCGACATACACAAAAGAAATTCACGCATGTAACGCATGGTCGCCCCGGTAGTCTAGTTGGTATCCTCGAAGACCTTCTAGTGGGCGGGGTCACGAGTTCGAATCCCGGCGTAAGCGAGCTTTTGAGTTTTCTCTCGCTTCTGTTCCTGGCCTGGGTGGAAAGCGCTCTATATTTAGTTAATGTAAACACAGAGTGCTGCTGCACTCCGCCTTACAAATCGACGACAAAGCAGCGCATGCGGATTGGGTAGGGTAGGGGGCCTCAGAGAGAGGAACCCTCCTTGTGTGTCCACGGGTCGGAGTAAACGGCACAACTGCTGTGAGCACTGATTTGAAGTAAAGACAAAAACATGCAAAAAAAAAAAGCATGTTCTTGGTTGGTTGGTTTGTGACAAGGCAAATAATGCACCACCCTCAAGTAAGAAGTAGGCTTCGATGTTGCGTTATTTCCCCCGTAAATGGCTTCAACTCTTTCCGAGCGCGGTCCATACGGTCACTGCTTACGCTACCCTAGCGAAACACGAACCGGACAAAGCACCAACGCCTGTGTGTAGCGGAAAAAGAACAACACTGTTGGACATGAACCATACCACAGACCGGCAACAACGACAACAACTGCAATGGCATGTGTGTATGATACACCTAACGAATCCCTCTCTCACGTTGCTTCCGAGGCTGGCGGCTCGCCCGTCTCCCGCCCGCTGTCGCCCTGGTGGCCTCACGGCAGCGGCGCCGGGTCTCCCAGAACCCCCTCCCTCCACCGTCGCCGCTGTCACGACAACCGCGGCGGATCCTCCCGCGGTTTCCCCGCTAACCCCCCCCGAATCGGCGCGCCCGTCCGAATTCCGCCGCCCCGCGGAGGAACCTCCAAACGCTTCTTCGGCACCTTCGCTACAGGCGTGCTGGCCGTTCACCCCTCGTGCGTTTTTAATGCCTCGGGCTACCGTTGCTGCTGTTGCTGGTGGTAGTGGGTCGAATTCTGCGGCGACGGCCGTGTCTCCGAAACCAGTGGACGTCGCGGGCCCGACCGTCGGCTGTTGTTGTCGTCGGGACTCTCCTTGTTGTCGTCGTCGTCGTTGCTGCTGCTGCTGCTGTTGCTGCTGCTGCTGCTGCCGCTGCTGCTGCTCTTCCGCCAGAACGTGGCTTTTGCTGATGATTCCGGCCGCCGTGCTGCCGTCCCTTTCACAACAAGCGTCGCGTTCCTCCTCCCTCCGCTTCGGAACCCCGGCGCCAAACCCTCCACCTTCTCGGCTGCTGGTGCCACGGGAACTGCCGCTACCTTTCCGTTGCAGGCACTGCTGCTGCTGCTGTTGCTCTGATGGCCGGGGCAAGCTGTCCACCGCCCCTCCCCCCCCGGACCCACCGCCGCCAGAGACACGACCACCGTCTCCGCCCGCCAGCTGCTCCCCATCTAACCCCCTCCCCCCCGCACACGCCTCCCCGCCGCCTTCACACCCCCGGCCTGTTGTTCCAGATGCCCTCGCCCCAACGCCCGCGGTACCGCCGTTCTTGAAGGCGATGGATCTGTGGCCGGTGCCAGCGCCGCGTCTTCCCGCCGGCGGCGGCCGCAGGCCGCGTCCCTCCCCCCCCCCCCCCCCCCCCCCCCCCCCCCCCCCCCCC